TGCCACGTCCTGGGCTCAAACTATGGTCAGCCATGTGGGAATGCAGCACCTTTTAACCACCATGCCATCTGCCAGCCCCCCTTAACTGAACATGTTGTTAACCAAGTCCTACAGTGTGCATTTGCTCCTTTAGGTTGACCCCACCCATCCCCCATCATGTGATAGCAGCATCCTAAATTCCTGTTGTAGAGTTACCGTGTTCTACTTGGTCTAAGTCTGTAGTCCCACACTGAATTCAAGGGTGCAGAGCTCTCCCAAGGTAGGCCTCTCTGTCTCTCTCCCCCTACACTTTGACAGAAAAATAGGAAGAATTACTGGAATTCACTTTTCTCAGTGAATGAAATTACATGCCATTCTATTGTCTTGACTCTGCTTCACTATGATTTCTTCCCGTTCTAGCCTATTCGCCTGAGTCCTCATCTATTCTACAAGGCATTAAGTATCCCACAAATACATTTTCTATTTTAAGGTAAATTGTTACTTATAACCTAAGAACTCTAACTTCTTAGATGTGAATCTGCACAAGGAAAATACTTTCCAGCTGTTCATATCCTGGTTGGAAATGAGCACTAGAAATTAGAAGAAGGAGTCCACACTCATCCATCTTGATTATGGGCACATGAAACCTGTTTTGGAGAAACAAGGGCGCTTCTGCCTGTCAATCAATTGCTTTGCTCTGGCTTGCTTAGATATAGTCCTGAGGAACTTCACACTGCCAGCTCAATTTTATAGAACTGACATTTTTACCAAAGCAGTACAAGTTTTAAACTGGAATATTGGCCTAGAATGTGCTATTGCATGATTATCAAGCTTGCTCTTTCATTTTAATTCCTGTCGCTCTCTTTTGGGGGACATATTTGAGAGCTGGCCATGCTGTGCAAAGGAAGCTGGATCACATGTGGCTGACCAGGGTTTGAGTCCTAGTCTGGTAGCTTAAAAAACACACCGGGTATGTATGTGTGTCGAGGACCCTGATGGGATGGCGAACTAGAGGAAAAAGGATTGCAGCATGATCAGGCCTTGCTGGGAGAAGGAGGTGAGTCTTTCTTTATCTTTCTATCTCACATGCATGCACTGCACACACATGCCTCTGGCATTTAAAAACAAGCACATTTGAGCTGCTACTCAGGCTAGTGGTTTTCTCTTCCCCATTCTGGGCTGTAGTCCCTGTTCTGGACACAATCTATGGCCCCGATACCCTGGAGACCCTGAGTATGTCACTTGTATAATTTTCTTCAGTGCCTCACAGCATGACAGCTGGCTGGAGTTCTTCTCTAAATGGACCATCTTAAATCCTCTTTACTCTAGGCATGGGTCCTTAGTACTGTTGCCACCACATGCTGTCTGCCATGCAGGCTTGTAAAAACAGTCTCTGCTGCATATTCTATTTGCATATTCCTCATTCACCACGTATGGGTGTGCTTTTCATAGCAAGTCTTCTTATGTATGTAATCATACATTTTGTATATTTATATTTCTAAAAAAATTTCACATTACTTAACATTGAAACTCAAAGTAAACTCATATTTCATTTACACTTCTGTCTTCATTAAATATTCCACTTAGCAAAGCCAGAATTTTGAGGTTCCTCTTGTATACCTCCCTCCCACTCTTTACTCTCAACCAATTACTGAGCTCTGCTTTCATGAACTGATTTCTCTGAGAGTTTCTCGTATTCCAGTTTAGGCTCTTGTATATCTGAGAGGAGAATTGCACTAGCCTCCTTGCTTGAGTTTCTGCCTTCAGTTGTTCCATTTCAAAGCTTCTCTGCTCATAGAACAATGATTAGTTTATATACCATGTTTGATTCCCTACTTAAAAAACTCTAAGGACCTTGGAACCCCTGAAGTGGGATGGTTGCATCGGAATCACCTAGGGATCATTTCAAATACTCAAATTCTTTGCCCACCTTGGAGATCCCAGTGCAGATTTGAGACAAGTGATCAATGAGCTGCTATCCAAATATGGCTTTTCAAGACTTAAGCATGGTATTCATGCTCAGCTTCAGTTTCTATCATTTTTCAATGTTTATTGTAACCTTGGAGTAACTATTTTAAAGTTTTCCACACTCATTATGCATCAATGACTCCATATCTTGCCCAATGATATTTTCTGGTCTAGAACAGCTGAACCTCTCCTCCACTTCCTTATTCAGATAACTAATTCTAGTTCATACTTCTCATCTTAGGGATCATCTTCCCAAGATAGGTGAGGGGCATTGTCTCAGTACACATAACATTTTCTCTTATAACTGTTATTTGGCGAATAATACAGTATACATTAGGCAGTAAGAGCCAAGTGGTTACATGGCTTCTTTGCTTTGAGGAGAAATTCTGTTCCATATGAGTGGCATGGCCTCATGCAAAACTCTTGTTGTCTCATTTTCATTCATAATAAATGTTTGTTAAGCTGTTAGCATTAACTGCCAAAAATCATCATCTCTAATTTATTAGCATCAAAGCAATTTAATTTTTCACTTTCATTTTTTGATATGTTAGGTTAATATTTAAAATATTAAGTGCTAAATAACAATATTATAAAAAAGCCAAAATCATGTGAAATAAAAAAATTTTAAAAAATTAAAAAAAAAATACATGAACACAGAGCAAACAGCTCTATGTTGCCCCTTAAATGGTATTTGGTTTCAATAAACCCTCTGTCCAGAGATCTCCAAACATATCAGCCTGGAACACTTACTATTATAATATTAATATTTAAAAGACTAAGGAAGCCAAGAGTGATTCTGAACACAAGGCAATACTCCCAAGTTCCCAATACTCCCAAGTTTAAAAAGAAATATGCAGAAATTTACATTTAATGTTACTTCTATTTTCAAAAGAAACTCACTACTGACATCTGAGGTGTTGGAGATATAAGTGAAAAAGGGAGTTCAGTGGGTGATTCGGTCTAACACTACAGTGTATCTAGTGTTGCTCTGGATTGAGTTCTAAAAACACAATCGTGAAACAAACATTTTGTCTTAGCGTGGTCTGGAACTATAGAAGTAGAATGGAAAGATGTCAGTAATTTTCACTGTCCATAAGGTTATTCCCATTAAGATTCAAATGTTGAGCCAGCCAGTGGCGTGGTGGTAAAACATTTGGAACCCACATGGCTAACTGCATGGTTGGGGTCCTGGCCCTGGAGACCTGAAGAACATATTGGGTGTGTGTGCATGAGTGTTCAAAATCCTGAAAGGAGGGAGAAATAGAGGAGAAGGGATTGCAGCATGACCACTCCCTATGGGATGGAGAGGTGCTTTCTTTCTCTCTCTGTCTCTCTCTCTCTGGAGAATATATGCACACTCTGACAACTTAATAACAGAAAAAAGATTTCAAAGTTCTATAATTATATACACACACTTATGTTACTATGTGTGCAAAAATATATGCATGAATTACATGTGTTTTCAATTGCTTAGCCTGAGGACTATGGTGGAGGTCTTTATAGGAAGATGAAGACCAAACTGGTTTAATAGGTAGACTTCCCAGACTGGGATTGCTGCAGAAGCATGAAGAGATAAACAACAGTAAAGATGAAAACGGATTCCACAAGGCTTATTAAAAGAAGAATGTTCTAGAAATCTTGAGGAGGCTCTGGTCCCAGTGCTGCCGCTAAATCACCAGATGAGTCTGGGCACACAGAATAATTGTTCTGCATCTCAATTCTCCAACTCACCAAATATGGGGATTAAGGTAGGGGATTAATAATGTCTTTGTAATCTGAAGTTATTTTATTCTAATTATTAAATTGCTTGAATTAAAATTATTTCCCTGAGGGGAAAATATTTTAAAATAAACATTACCATAAACTCTTAAAAAAAGGTAATTTTACATAGATAAACCTTATTTTAGCAAGTAAAACCCTCTTTCAGTAGGCCAGAGAATGACACTGGTAAAAAAAAAAAGATATTAAAATATTACAGTCCACAAAATGTAAAGGCTTTAAAGTATGTTATTTATAAACACCTGACAGAAGCACAAATATTATGCAAGCTTGGTTATTTTCATTGTATTTTAAGTGTAATGAGTGACCAGTTTTAACAATGGAATAGGGCTGTGTACCAGCACCAACATCAATAAGGCATTCTAGTTTTAACGGATGAATGCTTCTATGAAGTGTCTCACAATCATATAATTTTAAGGACTTGAAAATTTTGATCTGAAGAAAAATACTATAATATTTAGAATAAGTACATTTTAAAGATTAGGCCACATGTTTGCTTTTATCAACTACAGTAAAACAAGAAGTCAAGAACCCCCAATGTAAAATATCATGAGTAGTGTATAAAATGACTCTGGATTTATGGATTAAAAAAGACTTCTAAATAGCTCTTATGACTCTGTTCATTTTATTCAATAGCTTACTTTTTCTTCTATTTTAGCCTAACTTATCGACAACAGAAATCTGAGCTGGAAGAATAGGGTTTATGAATAGAAAAATTTGACTTGTCTGTGAATTGCATCTTGAAGAAACAAGTACATATATTAGGGATATGAGGTGTCCTTTTCAAAGCTGCCAGATCGTAACAAAGTGTGCCAAGACAGTGACCAGAAGTTAATTCCTCTATAAAGAGCGATTAAAGACAGTAGCTGAATGAAGGCCCTGTGAGGAGGCCTTAATAGAAAAACTAGAAGGCAATGTCTGAGGGGGTGGGGGGGATGAATCCAGTCCAGCCTGAGAACAATCTGCACCAGGTTTGAAAGATCACCCCATCCTCCTGTGTGAGTGAGTTACTAAGAAGCACAACTGCTTTTTGAATCTAAGACCCTGTGTTTTCCAGGAAGGGGCTGTGAGAGGGTGGGACAGAGATGGCACCCAGGAGCTCTGAGTCACCTGCTCCTTTCTGAGCCAGACAGGGATCCAGAAACAGACTGGGGCCAGACCACCATCCCGGCAACCTAGGATGCTCTGTCAATGAGCCCATGGCGTGTAAGAAAATCAACTACCTTCTCATCATCTACCTCAGTGTCTTACTGTTCACCTACATAAAAAGTAAGTCTCTCTCATTTATGGAACTTTTGGCACTTTTCCTGGCTTGTTCCTGGCTTTTCCTATTTCTTGCAAAGAGTTTGTAATGTTGTATGTGCTGCAAAACACAATGCTGAAAAAAGAAGTTTTGATTTCTGTTTGGTGTGAGCAAGTGTCCTGTGTTAAACAAATCAGTGATACAAGTCAATGTAAATAGTCGATTTTATGATTCTGTGACTTCCAATAGGTATAGAAAAAAATAGTTTTAAACCTGTTTAGTGATAAGCAGGAGAATACAATGGCACATCGAAGAGATCCTGTTGTGTTTGTGCTTTTACAAAATAGATTTGGCACTTCATAACTGATATCCTTTCCAGAGCAAGTTATTCATAAGTTTTATTGCATTTTATTCCCACCCATCATGTATTTATCTTCATCTTTAAAGAAATCTAATAATTAAAAGAATAGTCTCAATGTTCCCCAAAGAGTGACGGCTCCAAGTGTCTCTTTTACCAGAGAAATGGGCTTCTATTATATGTGCTTCTGTCTTACAAATGAAGGTTTTATTTTCCACAAACTCCCCAAAATAGAAACAAAAGCAGTTTCTGGGATGAACTTGTCAGATGTATGGTCGTTTGGGAAATCAGAGACCCAACGGCCCCAGCTGTGGGTTTATGAAGGCCTGTAGCTACTGAGCACGTTTAAAAAGAAGACAGGGAGAGTGTGTGCTTGTCAAAGGGCTGTGTGATTTGTGTCTGTTGAATCTGAATATCAATAAGACAGAGCATGGAGCAGCTGCTGGTTGAACAAGACGCTTGGCATTAGCACACAGAATTGTGTAATCTGGGTCACCTTCTGTGGCTGCACCAGTGAGATTGTTACACAGTTCACAGTTGAACATCAATCAGAGACTGGGTGAAGAGGGAGGATGGTGCCATCGCTAGGTAGCTGAAGAAGAGTCCAACTGGTCAAACTTTTGACACTTTCCTTGAAATTTAAAGGGGCGCCAGTCAATAGGAAGTGGGGAAGACACAAGTTGTTAACTTTCGCTTACACTGAGTCGTTATGTTACCCTATGATATGTTTCTGTTCCTTTTGGCTTATTTATTTATTTTTAGATTTTTTGCCATAGGGTATGTGCGCTAATCAGAGAGAAACAAAGAGGGAAAATGAGAAATCCGCCTCCCTGACACAGGAGGAATGGACATGCTGTAATTCCTTCTCCTTATTCTTCTGTAGGGATCTTGGGCACGTGCACACACACACACACACACACACACACACACACACACACACGGCATGATTTTCAAGCTGTCGGGTCCATGACTTGAACTGCCGTTGGCCATATGGGAGCCCAGCACCTTAACCACTATGCCACCTGTTAGCCTACATTATGTTGTGTTAAGGGAAGATAAAGGGAGAGAAAAATAATACGGAACGTGAAAGACCAAGTGAGTTTATGGTACATGTTATAGCAAAGAGCTTTATCATTCCAATGAGACATATATTAAAACTCCTAAAGTTCGCTGAAAAAAATTTTTTTAAGTTTACCTGTTTTGGGGGCCAGGTGGTTAGGCACTGGACTCCCACATGGCTGACTGCGGTTCACGTGCTGCACTGGAGGCTTGTTCTCTCACTTTCTCTCTCTCTCTCGTTTTCTCTGGTGAGTGTGCATGCCCTATAGCAAACTTTTAAAAATAATAATAACAATAAATGAGTCAAATTAAATAATTCTAAAAAAAAAAAAAGTCACCTATTTCTTTCATGAGTGAGCAAGAGACCAAGTAAGAAAGACAGATAGTACCCCTAACAGGAGTTCAATGCCGCAATTCACTCCTAGGCTTCAGGTAGCAGGGAAAAGGCATGCTTATTCAGGGAGTTCGCTGGACTTGAACCAGGAACTTTCCCATGTGGGATTGGTTTGCAGAACTTGGTGCTGTGCTGCTGTGTCACTGTTGGCCCTGCTGCAGTTTGCTTTCCAAGAGAATAATATGCAAGTTCCAAAGCATACATCTCTTTTTTCAAAGATATTGTAATTATGAATTGACAATCATATATCGTTTGGTTTCTCTCTCGGTGGGTGATTTTATAGATAGACTCCAGAGAAATACTTTGTAATTAATTTATTTGTTATCTAGCACAATATTTTTATTAGCTTAACAAAGTCATCTGGATATTTCGTTCTATTGAATTTTTAAGCAGGCAGACTTTCATTTGCATTTTATAGTTCTTGTCAAGGTATAACAGCATTGCCTCTAGTCAAAGACTACTTTTTCTTCATTAACTTGACTTTAAAACTTTCAGCTGGCCTAGTCACAGGGTGTGAGCTGCAGGGCAGCACTGCAAGGAGCTGGGGCTGCACGGGAGGCCTGGGGTCAGTTCCTGGACCAATCTGAACAAGTGGGGAAGCAGGAAGAGAGGATTGCAACTGTGAAATCCTATCAAAAATGCCTCTCTCTCTCTCTCTCTCTCTCTCTTTCTCTCTCTCTCATAGAACAGCAGAGCAACAAAATCTCTCAGTAAGGCATCAGTCTTTTCTACCCTTATTACTTAGTACTTTTAACCTAAATCCTAAGTTTCAGCCAAAATAATATCTAATATTAAAAAAAGGCTAACATTTTCTTAAGCATTTTATATACACTATAGTTCATTTAATTTTCAAATCCCTATAAGATAGAAACTATTATAATCACCCAGATCTTACAGAATAGGAAACCAAGACTCAAATTGCTGTAGCAGTGTATCTCAAACGTTGATGCCTAGGATAGCTGAAATGCTAGTTTAAGATCAGCCTCGCAAGTCCAGCCAGATATTACCATATTAGAAAAGTAAGTGACTTATAGCTATGTTTCATTAGTCTGTTACAAATTCACTATTCAGATCCTGGACCCAGCAACTTGAAAAACACTCCAGGCATGTATGCATGCACACCCAAAATTCCAAAAGAAGGAAGAAATGGGGAAGAAGGAATTGCAATATGATCAGGCCTCATGGGGATGCTTTCTTGCTTTCCTTCTCTCTCTGTGTGTCTCTCTCTGGTGAGTGCACAGTCCCTCTGGCAAAACTAAAACAAAACAAAAACAGCCAGAAGTTGATTCTCATGTAGGTCTAGAGGCTCGAAGTCTGAGATCGAAGTGTTAGCAGGGCCTTGCTCCCTCTGTGGCTGCAGCTGGAATCCTTACTTGCCTCTCCTAGCTCCTCAGGGAGGCTTTCAGTCCATGGTGTTCCTTGGTTTGCAGCTGTGTGGATCAGTCTCTGTCCTCACATGGTGCTCTCCCTTTTTCTGTCTGTCTATGTCTCTTCTCCTTTCAAGTCAGTTATTTTTTTAAAAAATTGAGTATTTGAAATCAGCCCTGATGGAAGTAACTGCATCCTAGAATCTTGCAAGAAGTTTTTCATACCAAACCAAGTGTCCATTCCACCTTTAAAACTTTTCCAAATTAAAAATGTTTAGAATTTCAACTGAGAATGCATTCTCGTGACCAAAGTCTACAGAAGCAGAAGTTACTGATATGTAACCAGAGGTAACCTTGTTAGTCTCTTTGGTTGTCCACATAAGTGTCCTGATAATTCCCAGATGGGTGATTCTTTTTTGTCTTATTCAAAATTCTCTGGAGCTTTTGAATAATTAAACTTTGGGCAAATTAGTGAGTGTGGAGTGCTAATGAGGCAGTTAATGGTTCAGACTCGGTACTATTCAGTTTGCTTTGCAGAGACCAGCTCTAAACAACAGCAGCCATGTCTGGTCAGACGCTCTTAGATTTGTAGTTCTGAACACAAAGAGGTAAAATGAAATGAACTCTTGGCAAATCAAGCATCTCTACTAGAAAAATCAGTGATAACTTCGTACAGATAAGGTAAACTTGTGATTTCATATATGTCTATAATCTTAGTCATCCATTATCTTTTCTTTTCTTTTTTTTGTTTGGAGAGGTTTTTGCTATAGGGCGCATGCACTCACCAGACAGAGAGAGAGAGAGACAGAGAGATAGAAAGTGAGAAATCACCCCCCAGGGGGGATGGCCACACCGCAATCCCTTCTCCTCCGTTCTCCTCTCGGGATCTTGGGCATGCATGCACACGCACCCGGCATGAGTTTAAGCCATCAGGTCCGGGACTTGAACCATGGTCAACTACGTGGGAGTCCAGCAACATAGCCATTACGCTAACTGCTGGTCCTTCCCATTATCTTTTCTTTTAATGTAGTCGCAGAACAAATATTTAAATGAAGTCTCAATTTTTAAGTACATAAAGTCAGTAAATTCAGATTCTGGTTCTAACCCATCATTGGTTAGCTGGGCATCCATAAATTCATCATTTGAATTATCTAAATATCTAATTTTTCACTTATAAAGTGATGGGATTAGGTTGTATAATTACCAAGTTTCCTTCAAAGTGTATGTTTTAAGGTTTCAAATTAGGGATCAGCAGATAGTGTAATTGCTACATTGCTGAACTCCCATGTAGTCAACCGTTGTTCGAACCCTGGACCTGATGGCTTAAAACTCACAATGGGTACGTGTGCATGCATGCCCAAGACCCAGAGAGGAGAATGGAGAAGGGATTGTGTTGTGGTCATTCTCCTTGGGGGAGGCAGTGGTGGTCGTAATTTCTCGCTTTCTGTCTCTCTGTCTCTGGCGAGCATATGTGCCCTATAGCAAAAATCTCTCTCTAAAAACAAACAAACAAACAAACAAATAAGATTTCATGATTATTCTAAGTAATCATAGAGATTGATAAGCAAAGAGTGATTTTAGTGACCTTACCGTGTGAATGAGGCAGCTTTCAGTATTACAACGGCGAACACATTCAACATCTTAGTGTTAAAACAGGGTTTGCCTTGTCCCACCACATACTAAGTACAGATTAACAGCATCTGCACCTTATTTGCCTTCTTCATTCCTCCAGTCTTGTGTCCCCGACACACATTCATATGTTGACATCCTAACCCCCAACGTAATAATGTTAGGAGATGGGGCCCTTGCGGGTGATTAGATCACAAGAGTGGAGCTCTCATGAATGGG